TTTTTTTGCTATAGGGCGCGTGTGCTCGCCAGACAGACAGATAGAGACAGAAAGCGAGAAATCACCCCCCCAGGAGGGATGGCCACGCCACAATCCCTTCTCCTCCATTCTCCTCTCGGGATCTTGGGCATGCATGCACATGCGCCTGGTGTGAGTTTAAGCCACTGGGTCCGGGACTCGAACCATGGTCAACTACATGGGAGTCCAGCGACATAGCCATTATGCTAACTGCTGGTCCCTAGACTGTTCTTCTAAATAGCTGTTGCCCTTCTCAGTATTCATCCTTGTTATGACCTTTCTTTCTTTCTTTCTTTTTTTTTTTTTTTTTTCCTGTAGCCGGGTACTCTACACTTGCTTCCAATCCATACAGGCCCAAAAGAGCTCAGAGTAAGTATAACAGAGATGTATGTATTTATTAGTGTGCTAATCTCCAGTCCAGGAAATTGATTGCTTTGTTTCATTTTATTTCTCTCACTGGTAAGACACTAATAACTCTGTATTCATATTTATCCCCATTAACAGTTTTATGAGGAATTAGAATCTTTTCAGCAGATTGGATATTGGGGAGCTAGGAAGCTAGGATTGCATAAACAGTTCCTTTCCTGTAATATCACCACAGTTCTGTTCATTTTTTTTCCTACACACATCCTAAATCGAGTTGCAGTTTTTCCTTTCTCTGGTGAATTGAGAAACAAAGACTGAGCATACAGAGTACTATAGATTTGTATAGATTTTTACCTTTGCTGTGCCATAAACTAGATTTCAGAATTATAATACCTCATTTAAATGTTTACATAGGTAAGTTTCATTATTAAAATTCAATTCAACCTTAATCGAGTACCTACTATATGCCGTTTCACAGTAGATGCTAAGGTTATAGAGATGAAAACCAAGTTCATTGTCTAATTGGCAGATGGAAACAGATTGTCTTAAAATTTTTTTCTTATAATACAAAGGGCCTTCAAAAGTTGATTGAAAATGTATATTATGAAAAATCTATCCATGACTTTCAAAAAAATTTGCATCAAAATAATCTCAAACTGGGACCAGCATATGACGTGGCAGTTATGTTGCTGGACTCCCACGTGGCTGACTGTGGTCCTGGACCCAGTGGCTTGAAACTCACACTGCACGTGTGTGCTCAAGATCCCAGGAGGAGAATGGAGGAGCAGGAATTGCAGCATGGCCATCTCCCCTATGTCCCCCACCCCAGCCAGAAGTGATTTTTAACTTTCCCTCTCACTGTTTCCCTCTCTCCCCAGTGAGCGCATGTGCCCTAAGGCAAAATAAATAAATGAATAAAAATAAACTCAGACTTTAATTCAATTTTTCCATAAAATGTTTGATGCACATTTATATTTGTCAATTTATTATAGCATTATTTGAAATAACAAATCATTGGAGGAAAACTTAAATATTTAATTGGTTTAAAAAAAGTATGAGGAGGCCTAGTGGTAATACAGAAGTGTCTCAAAGACATATTATTAAATGAAAAAGGCAAGGTACAAAAGCAGTGAGTATAGTATGCTACCACTTGTGTAAAGATGTGGAAGACAGATACGTGAACAGACCTGTGTATTTACTCATAAATGCATAGAAATAACTGGAAGAAAATATATCAGTTTCTTCAGGAGTGGGATATGAGGAAGTTGGAGATGTAGAGATTTCATTGTATCCTTTCCATAACTTTGGAATGTAGAACCATACATGTGTAGGTGTTACCTAGTCAAGGAACATTAATTTAATTTTTTTCACCGAAGAAATAGATGCATATGCATAAAATATTAAATAGTATAGGAGGGTTTAGGAACCACTTCTTTTTTCTAATTTTCTTTTCAGTTCTTCTGATGTTTAATATTTCAAAATAATATACTCATGATACTCTCTTGATTTTCCAATTTTAGGTATTATATTTTCTATTCTTATGTCATTTTGTTGTCACAAATGAGGACTTTACATTGGGGTCACCATAAGAGATCTGACTTCTTCTGAGTAGTACATTTCTGCTGTGCCACAAAGCGGGCCCTTCCCTTTCTCTTTCTAGAACTCATCGGATATTAAATGTCTTACATTAATCTTAGTGACTCAGTGACTCTTCTCACTCATATTTTCTGTTGCTTTTTAATTTACTTTTTCAGGTATTTTCTTGATTTTATTGCTTTCATCAAATTTTTTATTTTTACAACTTTATATATTTTTAAATTTTATTGTTTTATTATTTAATTTATTTTATACAAACATTGTACATCACTGTGGCTGACAACTTTATATTTTCAAGTTCTAAAAAAGTTTGTTTATTTCTTCTATGAGCAAGGCCCTTTATGTGATTTTTTGGGGATCCACTTTGGTCCTCCTGCCAGAAACTAGGAGTTCTAGTTACTCTTCCCTTTTCTGCTCTCTCCTGTTGGGGAGAGAAATGGAGAAAGTATTGTGGCATGTCCCTCCACCGTGGGGAGGCTGCTTTTTGCTTTTCCCCTCTTTGTCTCTCCAGTGAGTATATGTGCCCTCTGGCAAGTTAAAAATAAATTTCTGGGAACAGAGAGAGTGACATCAGCAAATGTGGAAGAGGAGGAAATTTCAAAACCCAGTCTTTCACAAAACTACTAAATAATACGGCAAAAATTGTCTATCAACTTTATTGGAACTCTAGAAATGAATCAAAACCTTATAGCAACCAGAAAAATGCTTAGATAAGACCGAAAAACACACCAGTATGTGTTTAGAGAAATCTCTATCAGATCATTGGATAAACACTAAGCTAATAGGACAGAGACCTCAGTGTCCATGTAGTCAAAATATGTAGACTATAAAAATTTGTTTAGAGAAGTCACTGAACACATAAACAAAACCAGATACACTAAGTGTTTGCAACAAATCTTGGGGAGGGGCTAGACTCTGATTTCCAGAATTGTCACATTATAATATTCAAAACATCCAGTCTTTAACAAAAGATTAAGAGGTATTCAAATAAATAAATAATGATTTGTACATAAGAAGGAGAAATTAAGACATTCCCAGATAAACAAAAACTGAGCAAGTTCACTAGTAGATTGTCCCTACAAGAAATTTTAAGGGAGTCCTCTAGGCTGAACTGAAAGGATAGTAGAAGGTTACTTGAACCCACGAAGAGAAGTAAAGAACACCAGAATGATAACTACACAGTTAAATATAAAAGTCAGTATTAATGCGGGTTTTTTTTTTCAGTTTGTAACTCCTTGTTCTCACATATATCATTTAAAATAGAGGTCCCCATCCCCTGGGCCACAGACAGGTACTGGTCCATGGCTTGTTAGGAACCAGGCCACACAGCAGGAGATGAGTGGCATGTGAGTGAGGGAAGCTTCATCTATTGTAAATATCAATATATTTATAATCCCTCCTTCCCCATCACTCATACTACTGCCTGAGCGCTCAGCCTCTGTCAAATGAGTGGCAGCATTAGATTTTCATAGGAGCGCAAACCGTATGGTGAACTGCACATACAAGAGATCTAGGTTGCATACTACTTATGAGAATATAATGCATGATGATTTAGGGTAGAGCTGAGGCAGTGAAGCTAGTCCTGGGGAGTGGCTGCAAATATCACAATATAGTGAGTTATATAATTATTTTGTTATATAGTATAATGTAATAATATTAGAAATAAAGTGCATAATAAATGCAATGCTTTTGGGTCATCCTGAAACCACCACTACTCCCTACCCCTGGTCTGTGGAAAAATTCCCTTCCATTAAACTTGTCTCTGATGCCAAAAAGCTTGAGAATCACTGATTTAAAAGACAGCTACATAAAGCAACAATTACAAATCCAAGTCAATGGGTACACATTGTATAAAGATGTAATTTCTAGCAACAACAACATAAAAGGATAGGAATGGAGCTATATAGAAGCAAAAAATGTATTATTAAAACTAAGTTAATATTGATTCAAGCTAGACTGCTGTAAATTAAGATGTTAATTGTAATCTCCAAATCAATTATTAAGAAAATAATTGAAAACTATATAAGCAAAGAAATGAGAAGAGAATCAAAATGGTACAGTAGAAAGTTTATATCTAACACAGAAGAGGAACAACAAAAAAAGTTATACATATAGGAAACAAATAGCAAAATGGAAGAAAAAAGTCCTTATCAATAATTATATTAAATATGAATATAGTTAAATCCATGAAAAGACAGATTAGCAGAATGGATAAAAGAGAAAAAGCATGAATTTCAAAAAAAAAGTTGCACAAAAATACTTTAATTCCATTTTCCATGAACTTTTTGAAGTACCCTCATTCAAGTCTTTAGTCTTTCTTTTTTAGTTTTGTGTTTTTGTTTTTTTTTTAATCAAGTTGTTCTTTATTCAAAGTGGGATGTTGAAGTCTCCTACTAACAGGACTGAATCTTCTGTTTCTCCCTTCAATTGTCAATTTTTGTCCCATAAATTTTAGAGTTCTATATTTTAACCTTTGTTAGGTGTGTATATATTTATAATTGTCATATATTCTTGTTGGATTGACACTTTCATAATTATGTAATAACCTCCCTTGTCTCTTGCAAAAAATTTTGCTTTCAGATCCAGTTACTTTGTCTAGTATTACTGTTTGCATGGAATATTTTTTTCCACTGCTTATTTCTCTCAGTCAAATATATATTCACTTTGCCTACAGTATCATGTTTCTTTTCACCACCTGGCCAATGCGTACTCATTTTGAAGACAAAGATCAAAGTTAGGAATCCTTCTCTGATACCCCTCAACCCCCAATGATACTGCAGTTAAGTGTCTCTCCTGAAAACGAAATAGAGTCTTACACTTCTGGCCAGCTGCAGTAACACAGTGAAGACACAATACCCTGTGATGCCAAAGCTACTTGGGAAGGTCCTGGGGTCTTCTTTAATACACTGGGCATATTTGTATGTGTCCATGATCCTGGCCGGCTGACACTGGGGGTGAGATTGTGATGTGAAAACTGTTGGGGTGCTCCCCTCACATTCTCTGTTTCCTCTTTCATGGAAGAAATAAAAACTTTAGAAAATAGATCTCTCTCCTGACCCCAAAGAGATACTTTATTTTGCCATTCTTGTTTAAATCCATAATCCACTCAGAGCTGATTTAGCAGTATGATGTGAGCTAAGAATTAAATTTTTCTTT